ACTGAAGCCCTCACAGAAATAACCCAAGTGGAGGATGTCTCCAAGCCCAAGTCACATGGGGGATTCACACAAACACCAAGTCCAGTAGGTAGGGAAGGCTGGCACTTGCCTTGTGTATAGGCAGTCCTCAGGTTATCAACAAGACAGGTTCTGTATGTTTGTTCTTTGTTGTTGAGACAGTTTCACTTTGTCACCCTCGGTAGAGTGCTCTGGCATCACAGCTCACAGCAACCTGAACTTAAGTAATTCTCTTGCCTCAGCCTCCCAAGTAGCTGGGACTACAGGCATCCGCTACAATGCCCACCTATTTTTAGAGATGGGGTCTCACTCTGGCTCAGGCTGGTCTTTAACCTGTGAGCTCAGGCAATCCACCCACCTTGGCCTCCCAAGTGCTGAGATTCCAGGCATGAGCCACCATGCCTTGTTTGTTCTTAAGTTGAATTTGTATGTAATCAGATCAGGCGGGTTCACCTATTACCTGTAACAGCTTCCATTCCAAGTATGAGTCATACACCAGTCAGATGTTTGTAACTCAGGAAGGCCTGTATTTGCCTTTATTCCAAATATTAGAAATTTTATATTCATCTTCTTAACTTTTACCTCAATATTTCTTACTTTTATGCTTTTTTAATAATCTCTTACCTTTTTTGCAAAAAAAGATATTCGTCTTTTCTTTCTTAACCTCTTTTAAACTTTAGGAGTTAGGTTTTAGTTCTCTTTTTTCCTACCCGATACTTAATTACAACCTGAATCTTCTCCCTGACAAACAGAAGAACAAAAACCCCCAGGTCGGAGGCTCCTGGTCCCCAGGCTGCTGCTGCCTCAGGCTCCCAGCCTGTCTCCCTCCAAACCCAGCGGGGACTTCACTGTCACCTTAAGTGCTGGCTCAGGCTGACCTGTTTACCTCTCTCTTTGGCCATCATTCTTTTTTGACCTTCAGACCCTAGTTTTACAATAATTGTTATTACTAAAGTACATTCTTCAATATTTCTTCTTTTTTTTTTTTTTTTTGCAGTTTTTGGTCGGGGCTGGATTTGAACTTGCAACCTCCAGTATATGGGGCTGGCGCCCTACTCCTTTGAGCCACAGGCACTGTCCACTAAAGTACATTTTTTATAAATGTTAAGTGAAGATCTCTGGGGCAAATGCTCCCATTTTTTCTAAAACTTTTAATTTATTTTTTTCTTTCCTTTTTCTTTTTTGAGATAGAGTCTCACTCGGTGGCCCTGGGTAGAGTGCCCTGGTGTCACAGCTCATAGCAACCTCAATCTGTTGGGCTTGACCAGTCCTCTTGCCTTAGCCTCCCAAGTAGCTAGGACTACCAGTGCCTGCCACAATACCTGGCTATTTTTTTAGAGACAGGGTCTTGCTCTTTTTCAGGCTGGTTTCAAACTCCTGAGCTCAAGCAGTCCACCTGCCTCAGCCTCCCAGGTGCTGGGATTGCAGGTTGAGCTGCCGTACACGGCCTGTTTCATATTTATCTTCTAATCTCTCTTTGCTGCATCCAATGATCCCTTCACATGTGTCCAGTCCTTAACTATCCTCAACTCACCCTGTCCTTAACTATGTCTAATCTGGCATCACATTCAACCACCCAATTTTTACTTTAAAAAATTCTACAATTTTTATGTATAGAAATTCTACTTGGTTCTTTTTCAAATTTGGCAAATTTGGGTAGTCTTTTGTCTAAATCTGTTGTTTACATTGTCTTTTTTTTCATGTTACTTCTATGATTTTTTTTTAAAAATCCTGAGTTTATAATGAGTATACATGTCATTCCTTTTTTTTTTAGAGACAGAGTCTCACTTTGTCCCCCTTGGTAGAGTGCTGTGGCATCACAGCTCTTAGCAACCTCCAGCTCTTGGGCCTAGGTGATTCTCTTGCGGCAGTCTCCCAAGTAGCTGGGACTATAGGCACCTGCCATAACATCCAGTTATTTTTTGTTGCTGTTGCAGGTTGGCCAGGGCCGGGTTCGAACCTGCCACCCTCGGTATATGGGGCCGGTGCCCTACTCACTGAGTCACAGGCGCTGTGTCACTCTTGATGATGAGTTCATATTAATACTTGATTTTTCTTAACCTGTGGGATTCTTCAGGCCTACATTGAACAGATTTTCCCCAGAGTGCATTGCTGTTTGCTTATGCTAAAACCCCACAAGTCACTGCTGACCTGGCTCAACCCATGCC